TGGACTTTGCCATTGAGAACACGCACGGATTTGGAAAAGAATAAGACTTTATGAATTGATACTACCTGCTTGGAGGTGTTACTGTAGTGTAGGCTTACTGTAGAGATGTTAGAGGCTTAGTTATCCAAAAAATATATAAAAATCTCACCCTCATGTCACCCCAAACCCATATAGCATGCATTTTTAGTTGCAGTATTCCTTTTAATAAGTTCAGTGATAAATCTTACACATTTTTTACTTCATTTGTATTACATTAGGACATTTGTTTTGCTGTTTTCGTTTTATTTAAAAAAAAAAATTTTTAAAACGCTGTATGAAATGTTTTTATACAATTTAGTAAGTTTAATGTTATGAAATGTTTGTATTCAATTTAGTATGTTTAGTGTTATGAAATGTTTACTCAATTTAGTATGCTTAGTGTTATGTTTGTTTTCAATTTAGTATGTTTAATGTTATGAACTATCGGCACACATCAATTTATTTATTTTTTCCAGTCAACTTGTTTTAAAAACCTGTATGACTGACTTGCTTCTGCAGAATGCAAAAAAATGACATGATGGACAGCCATGTCCAGTGTATAAGGAAAATAAAATACAACAATGGTAAGGCTGCCAGTTCCTAGCATCATTGTTTACAATCTGAAGAAAAAAGCAAGTCATGCAGGTTTAATACTACATCTGAGTAAAACTTTATCACTTTATGAATTTTAGAACATTAAAAACTTCAAGAAACATTGAAAATTTCAGTTATAACTGACAGTGTTAATTAAAATATGTACACTAAAATCATGTGGCTTGTTGTCTTTCCATAAATTCTACAAGCGCTAAAAACAAATCAATTCCATGATTTCCATCCTCATGTAATGGATTGAATGTTTGTTGAATAATTACCAATGTGGTATAATTTGGTTGGTATCTGTTGTTGGGAACTACAACATTGTTTCTGGTCTCTATTTCTGGTACTACCTCAGGTACATTCTCATCCATGTAAAAATGGTCATCAGTTTCAAACACACTTGATACAGCTGTGTTGTTGTGTCCGATATGATTAATAACACCCCTGTGCCATAACTGCAGAGGTGTTTGTCCCCCTTCAGTTGATAATCCATGGTTGTTCCACATGCTCCTGAACTCTCTAACTGCCCTCTGGATCCGGGGTAAGTAAATATAATGGAGACAGAATAAATTTAGCTCACAGAGAGAATTAAGAATGCCTTGATCATCCATGAAAGAGAACAAGTTAGAATAATAGTATGATACAACTCTATTTAACTCCGCCCATAATCTTTCAATCCGTTGATTGTGGACACTGCGTCCAGCAATAACAGATCTTCTATTCAGACCTCGTCTATTTATCATGTAACGCGCAACCTCAACATTTTCCAGGCCATGGTCACACCTGACCCTGAATGGCAATCCAAAGTTCTGTACCCCTTCTTGAAACAAAGATAGAACACTTAATGCTCTGTTATTATCTAAACAATCAATATATATAATGGTACGGCTGTATCCATCAACACACCCGTGGAACACCAGTCTCCACCTCACCAGCTTATGGTTCCCATCTATATGCCTGTAAAGAGTAGAATAAGATTAGTTATTAGGTTCTCACACTGATGCAATTTAAACTGATTCAATATGAATTCATATTGTATATTATTAATAGGCTACTTAAAAAGTAGCCTACATGGATTTAAAAAAATATATAGGGCCTATATATTTCAAGGCGAAGTAACAACTGCGAAATTTACCATAGCTGGTTGGGGGTTTGTACAGAATAAACCCTTCTCCGAATAGCACGTCTGCGTCTGAATGATCGGCCAACTGGATCAATTTCTTGCAAACTTTGTCGGACCCTCCAACGCTGGATGCGGATGCCACGAGAGCGGAGACTGCCCAAAATGTAGGTCTCGCCAGAATTTGGGGTTCTTTGCAAAATCTGTCTTACGAGTGTGTTAAGCTCAGCGTTAGGCAATGATGTAAATTCCAACGATCCTATTCCAAGACGTTGCCTGTGCCTAAACAAAGTGCGGCGGTCTATTCCGAATAAAGATGCAATTCCTTGCCAATTCAACCCAAGGCTTAGAATGTGGGAAATTTGGTCATGTAAAATGTCGTAGCGTGGGCGACCCCTGAGGCAAATCTGAGATGTTGGTGGAGCCAGCAGTGGCCCTGTTTCTCTTCTGCCACTCTGCTGGTTGATGATTTGGCGCATACATCTGTATAAGTTCTCAAGAACAACGTGTTCCCTAGACTGGGGATCTTGATCAACTATAAAATCCCATAAACTGTTCTGGCGTGGTCATCTAATTCCATATAAAAGGAATCTCCGTGAGCTTGCTGTATAGATGTAACACACCTTAACACACTATTAAAGAACTCGATTATATCGTCCTCATTGCTGCTTGCAAATACAAATAAAACCGTTAATAAGATCCCTCGCAACTTCATGTTTACTGATGATTTGAACATAGTGAAAATGCCTTCCGTTTACACTGAAATGACTTCCGTTTACACTGAAATGCCTTCCGTTCACACTGAGAATCATATGCATCATACTGTGTGATCATTCATGTCTCATATGAGTATGTGCGTGGAGAGTTTGTGTGTGTGCGTGCGCGTTTCATAGAATGTGCGTGGAGAGTTTGTGTGTGTGCGTGCGCGTCTCATATGAGTGTGTGCGTGGAGAGTTTGTATGTGCGTGCGCGTGTCTCATATGAGTGTGTGCGTGGAGAGTTTGTATGTGCGTGCGCGTGTCTCATATGAGTGTGTGCGTGGAGAGTTTGTATGTGCGTGCGCGTGTCTCATATGAGTGTGTGCGTGGAGAGTTTGTATGTGCGTGCGCGTGTCTCATATGAGTGTGTGCGTGGAGAGTTTGTATGTGCGTGCGCGTGTCTCATATGAGTGTGTGCGTGGAGAGTTTGTATGTGCGTGTGCGTGTCTCATATGAGTGTGTGCGTGGAGAGTTTTACGCATCTCTTGTGTGTAGAGTTTGCTTGTATGTGCGTGAGCGACTTTAGATGTGTCGTTGTGCATTTCATATGTATTTGTTCGAGCATTCAGCAGTATACGTGTATGTTTGACTACTAAGTATACGTGTGTGCACGTGTTTCATATATGTGTGCGTGAATGAAGTTTGATTTAAGCCCTAGACGGCGCCTCATAATAATGACTCACCAGTGACAGAAACACTGAAGATCTTAGTGACGCTGATTCTGCTGCTGATGATCTTCAGTGTGTATTCTCCAGAGTCTGTGTTTCTGGTGTGTGTGATGTTCAGAGATCCAGTCTGATGATCCAGCTTCAGTCTGTCTCTGAATCTCTCATTACCTTCATTACACTGAACATCTGTACAGATCTTACTCTGATCTCTATTGATTTGAGCTATACGTGTGTAATTAAAGTACCATCTAATCTTCTCTTGTTGGTTTGTTTGAACACCAGTGTTTAGAGTGACTGAATCTCCCTCCATCACTGACACTCTGTCTGGCTCAACACCAGAAGCTCCTGTAGAAGAAATGAACAACAGTTCATTATGAGCTGAACAACATTATACAACAGGAAAGTAATGTGAAAAAAATGTTCATAATTTTTTAAGTAGAGAAATATGTCTGGATTGATACTTTAACACAGGCAAAGAAACAGCAGGATAATATCATTGATTTACAGCTGAGATGCCAAATCCTGTTCCTGTAGATCTACGTTCCTGCAGAGTTCAGATCTAATCCTGATCCAAAACTCCTGTCTGTAATTATCAAGAGCTCATGAACATCTGAATTTTCTTCTTTTTGATCAGGGTTGAAACTGAACTTTAAAAGCTTGTTTCATGGAGCGGCTGAGCACCTGTCCTGCGTTGTACTGTACAACTTTCTGTGTTGTACAAAGAAGTGCAACTTGTTTGAAGGTCAATTGCCTTTGCAATATTTCGCATTTATATATATTTGTTTAATACATTTGATAGTTTTCACATGATTTGATGTAATTGTATTGATTAGGTTGTTAAATACACATACTTTATCTGTTTGATTAATGTATTATGTTTAATAAATACAGTATCTCTTCCGTTTAAACCATAAATGCATGCTGTCCACTCAAATGGACATCTGAAAATCTCTTTGAAAAATTTGTAAAAAAAAATAATAATAATAAAATAAATAAATAAAATGTGTTTTTCATGCCCTAAGAGCAATACAAACACATAAGAAAAAATGCTGACTCAGGTTATCATAATTCATGCATGAAAGGGATAAAGGGTGGGATTTAAATGGATAAAACTAAAATAAAAGCACACACTGCAATTACAAATGATAAATGCATTTCTGTCGAATATAAATCGATTAGAAGAGAGACTAACATACCATGACCATGCTTGATTAAACAAAGGAGCAAAACGGCAAATATAAAAAGAAGCTTCATCTCCCCCACTTGGATAATGGCATCTTTACACAATAGCGCTGTGCTCCTCTGCAGCAACCGACTCGAAAGAGAAACTACCGGTAATATGTTGGAATGCTTAATAATCGACGCACTGTAGCGTGATGACGCAGTGACGCATCTTTGATGCGCGTACGATCACATGCTGTGTCCGAAATCTCCCGCTACTCACTATATAGTGGACTATATAGTGAGCTCGCCATTTTGTAGTGCTGTCCGAATGTATAGTGATGATTATTATACCCTGTATCCACAGTATTAAGATGTCTTTAAAAAAAAAGCAGGTTTCAGTTTGCCTCATAAGATTAACTTCTCTAAAACTGGTAACTTTGAAATCAGACATGGTTTTAACTTGAACTTGCCTTAAATACTTTTTCTACTTTTCCCCATAATGGAGAACTGAATTAATATACACAACAATTTTAAATCACTTTCTATTTTACAATGAAATGTAGTTTTTATATGACGTGTTTATGGCATGTGCATATGTGTGTGTGTGTGTGTGTGTGTGTGTGTGTGTGTGTGCATTAGGAGGGTCAGACTCTGTCGGGGAGGATTCACAAGCTTGTGTTTGTTAAGATCTGTTGTGCTTTCATTGATAGTCTTATTAGATCAGGTTTCACTGAACAACTGCAAATGTTTCACATGTTTGTGTTGTTCTGTTTGTGCGCCTGCCGTCTGATCGGTAAGTGTTGTTTATTTACATTTCAGAGTAATAAACTCCTGTGGCGGTTCAGAGTAGATTATTTTCATCCACTGAAATCAAATCTCTCTTGTTGTTTTAGAAATCTTGATTTCTATGATTATGCAAATTCTCCTCGAGCAATAATAAAAAAAAACATTCAAATACTTTTTGATTATTCTGCTGTAATTTTAAACAATTAAATCATAATATATTTAAAATAGCCATATAATTAAACTTGTACTTTCAAGATGTAATTAATTTAACATAATTTTTATTTTGTTCAGCTAAATGTTTTGAAATACATTAAAGATCAAATTATTGATTCAATGGTCTCTCTGTTGCTGTGAAAGGTTAAAAACTGATCTCAGGCTTTCTAAACCAACATGAGCATTAATCTGAAAACCTGTTCATGTTCTCCAGGTGTGTTTGCTGCCGAAACAAATGAAATACAGTCAGTGTCAGTGATGGAGGGAGATTCTGTCACTCTAAACACTAATGTTACTGAAATACATGAAGACGACGACATGCTGTGGAAATATGGAGCTGAAAACTCTCTGATTGCTAAAATCAGCAAAGAGAACCAAATCTTCTCCACATATGATGATGTTTCTAATGGGAGATTCAGAGACAGACTGAAACTGGACGATCAAACTGGATCTCTGACCATCACACACACCACAACTGAACATGCTGGAGTTTATCAACTAGAGTTAAATGGAGAGAAACTGACATCAAAAACATTCGTTGTTTCTGTCTATGGTGAGATAATTTGTTCTGTCCTTCAATTATTCTTATTAAATGAACTTCTTCAGTACCAAATATTTAAACATGTCCATATTTCTCTTTATTATATCATGTTTTCCAGCTCGTCTGCCTGTTCCTGTCATCAGCAGAGACTCTTCAAATTGCTCTTCATTTTCTTCTTCATCATCAAATTGTTCATTGTTGTGTTCAGTGTTGAATGTGAGTGATGCGACTCTCTCCTGGTACGCAGGAATGAGTGTATTGTCCAGCATCAGTGTGTGTGATCTCAGCATCAGTCTCTCTCTACCTCTGGAGGTGGAATATCAGGATAAAAACACCTACAGCTGTGTGCTGAACAATCCCATCAGCAACCAGACCACACATCTGGACATCAACACACTCTGCCACACATGTGCAGGTACAGCAGTGATGTTAGTTGATGTCATCACTGATATTATTGACTGATCTGATCTCAGTTTGAAGTTTTTATTCCTCAGACTCTGTCCACTGTTGTGGTTCTACTGAAGCTGTGATCCGATTGGTCCTCGCTGCTCTGGTGGGCGTGGCTACTGTCATTGTTCTACTTTATGACATCAGATCCAGAAGAGCTGAACAAGATCAAGCACATATTCACACATTGGGACAGTAAATGATGATGTCATTTCTCATTCTGAACTATTTCAATCATATATTAATCTTAATTTATTTTTAATGGCTTTATATATGAATCTGGGGGTATATTGACGTTTATTTATTGGCATTTTTATCAATAACACAGGGGGGTAACTTTGCTTTCAATGTATTACTTAAAGCTCACTTTAAGCACGCCGATACCACAGCACGTGTTTCATTTCATAATTTTTCTCAAATATAATTGTTTCTTTACATGTACGGTATAATTCTCTGTTACTATGTAAAAGCAAGTTTGGATTTCTTGATACTTTCAGCTTATTGTTAAGACCATGAGGTTAGATATATCAAAACTAGACAGCTCTCTAGTTCCGTTTCCACTTTTGTTATATTCAGACACACTAACTCTGGCCCAAGTGTTGGGGACTTAGTATTCAAAAGCATATAAATGTTAATCCTGCAAGAAAGAGAAATGTTAGTTATGATTAATTTAAAAATTATATAAAATCATTCACTCACAAACCTACATTTGTCTCATTCATGTCTAACTTTAATGCACACCCTACAACCTACATCCTTATTCATACCCTGCTCCCCATATACTTGTACTTTGAGTTATATAGAGCGAGAGCGCATCTACTGATCGTATAGTAAGTGTATATTTCATACTACACTTTGTGCTGTCACTTAGTGTTTCTAATTTTGTGTTGCTTTATTATTTTCATTGAATGTATTATTCATTGCTATTCTTTATTTTATTGCAGAAACCACCCAGAAGTAAATAAACATATAGATCAAGCTAAATGACCCGTAGATTCACTTGAATAAATCAATGCTTGGGAAAGAATCTGCCGTGGAACTCACTCTTTGTTTCGTCTTATATACGTTCTGACTGAGGTTGAGGACTAGCTTATACACACAAGTGCATCTATATACATGCACATCCATCTTTAACACCAGTTGATGTTCTCTAGTCTGTGCCAATTTCAGTAGTAGTCCATTTCAAAGAGGGAAGTGCCATTGATTTGTCTGTGGGTATTAATCATTTAGATATGTATGACAGTAATTTATTTGGTTTTTAAAGTGAAAGCGTTTGATAAAGAGGGGAATGATCGTTTTTTATGTTCCTTGAACCAACAGATTTTGTTATTACTTACCGGTAAGTATGACTGGTTCGGAATATAATTTAACTGAATTTGGTTACATGGTCTTAAGCAGGCCAATTATTCAATAACATATTGCAAAAATAACAAAACAAGAACAGTAAATGATACAAAGGAGTACAGTAAAGGATGTGATTTATATTTAATAATGGACAGCAGGTGAATTCCTAAACTAAAAACTAAAAAAAGTGTCTGTGTGCTATATGATATTGGTAAATACATTTAAATTAATACAACATTTTATACATCACAATAACACCAAAATATGTAATACAAAAATTAAAAACAGACGTATCCTGTCAGAGAATTAACTCAAACCAAAAGGGAGATGTATTGTATGAACTCTTAACATCAATTCCATACAGTATTTGATCATCGTTTTTTAGGGACATTTTCATACACAGCCTCCATCTTTGATTTCTGAAAGGAAACAAAGACACGATCTGGAACTTGCAGATGCGACAGAACTATTTCTATGAAATAATTTACTTCAGTATATAGCTATTAAACTGCTATACTACAGAATAGATGCTAACATGGAGCAGCAAGAGGAAGTGACATCAAACGCCCCAATCATCACAAGCTCTGAAAGATTTTCATTATAGCCATGCTGTCATCTGAGCTGATGATGATTGTCTTTCACACCAAAGCAACTGCAACGATTGTTGTAGCACGTCTACTAAGCAACCAATGTCTGCTAAAGCTGCATTTCAGCTCAGAATAATGATAAACCGCAGAGCAGCTGCAGCTCGAGGACACACTTCAGCACAGATCTAACATGAGTTAACACTGCTTTCTTACTTTCTACTTGCTATAGGACTACTGTCCTACTTTCTTTCCAAAGACAATCAAACAATCAAATTATATTATGTTGTATAGGTCATTTTAGAAAGGCAAACCAATTTACATTTAGAACTGTTTACATAAGATTTCAAACAAAAGTTGAGAGGCCAGATATAGATCACAGACTGGATTTTTTACATGTATAACGAAAATAGTCATAACAATTAATGATGTTTAAATCAAAAACTATATTGTAATTGGACAGCAGCACATCTAAAATAGAAATGGACTGTCCATAAACTAAAGATATGTCACAGTGCATAGGTGTCATTTACACTGGGGACGCTGGGGACATGTCCCCACCACTTTTTGAAATGGCTGATTTTGTCCCCACCACTTTTTGAAAGCATTTGGTTAAAATGTTCTGAAAAATCAAGCGAACCAAGAAATGTTAAAGGTTTATTTGCACAAAATAAAACATGCAATGCAGTTTAGATACAGAAAGAAACAATGTACATTGTCCAAAAAAGTAACTTAAACAAAATAAACTATTACTGATTCTAAAATGACCCAAAAACATGCATGCGTCGATCAGTAAAGCCTGGTTCACACGGCAGGATAATTAGGCCGATATTAGCCCCGATTTACCCCTTCCGACAATCTTAAGGATGCTCCGATTATCGTAAAATAATTTTAGATATTCCTGCAGTGTGTGGTGTGTTAAGACTGCTCTCGTCTGCTCGGAAGGACGCCGGAACCGCTCAGATCTCTAATCGGGGATATCCAACATGTTGGATTTTTTTGGCCCCATTTCTCCTCGTGTGTGGTGTCCCCCGGGGACAAACGAGCACGCAGCCTGTGGAGGCTACTTGTCTTGTTGGGCAAGTAAAATTCTCTTTTACTTGTCCCTTCAAAAAATCCACTTGTCCCGGACAAGCGGACAAGCGTTAATGTCGAGCCCTGTAGTAGGCCTATGGTGCTTTGGCACTGTTCGGTTGAGCTGGTGTTGCAGGGACTGTTACATGTGCAGTCGACATTGTTGAGGGTTTTATGCTGAGTATTTTCGTGTTGTTGACTGGCCTACGCTATGCCTATTTTTGATGTGCCGTTATTCAATATTTTTGTTTGTTTTTTTCATCTGATCTTTTGTCCCCACCACTTTTCAACACAAACTGACGCCCCTGTCACAGTGCAACTTCATAATGTCACTGATTATAACTGGAGCACCTGTGCATAAAAGGATGCCTAAGTTACACAACATCAGCTTTTTTGTCTTCAGGAGCTGTTTGTTGTAATGTGTGGTAATGGAAAGCAAGAGTTTCAGGAAGTGTGTTCCTCCTAGCCTGGCACGCCAGACCTACATCAAGATGTTAGGTCTGGGAACTCATCATTGACAGGGCTCAATCTGATGGGCGGGATAAACGGTTGTCTTTCAAATTCTCTCTCCACGCAATTGGATAGCGCTACAACCAATCAGAGCAACGAAGAAGGGGACGTAGTCAGCGGAGCAAGTTGATATATTAAACTTTTACCGTATCCAGTCCATAGCTGTCAACATTGAACATTGAAAATAAGGGAGATTTCCAGGAATCCATCCCCAAAATAAGGGATTTTTTTTTGTTTTTTACACGACCCACAAACTTTAAAAAATAAAACAATAATCATTAAAAGTCTAAAGAGTTTATAACTAGCCTATGTGTGAGAGAGAAAGAGACAGTGTGTGTGTGTGTGTGTGTGTGTGTGAGAGAGAGAGAAAGAGTCATTAAACATTTTTTTGTCATTAAAAAAATAATATCATAGAGAATGTTTAAATACTAATATCAGCTTACGAGGGAAACGGAGGCGGAGTAGTGGTGCTTCGGAGTGCTGGAGATGATTCGGAGGTCCTTTACCGATCAGAGCGCGCGCTGACACGGAGTAAATAAAGCCTTTATACTCGACGCGTCCGCACGAGTGCGGCAAAAATGACAAGTTGATCGTTTCGCCACAGCTTTTTTGTAACAGCGCGCGCGGCGCCGCATCCGAGGATGAATGACTTCAAACCGAATATGTCCGAGCTTGCTCTGACCGTCGCAACTCTGTCGTCATTATGTTAAGCCCGCCCGCCAACTCTATACACGATGTGATTGGCCCGGCAAGGTTTGGGGTTTTCCAGCTAAACCGTCTATGGAGAGTTGCTAGACCACACTTTGCGGCGAAATGATTTTTGCTGCCGCTAGGGTGCGTCTAGATTTCTAGGCTATATTCCTCCATGAGGACACGTACAAACTCTGTTATCTGCCTTGGGGCAGAGCACATTCGTTCAGTTCTCAGGGGAGCTAAATGTGTTCACTGCCAAAAGATTTCAGTGAACAAGCTCACGCTTATCCTTTTTCTTAAGAATAGGGAAATGAGCACCCCTCAGTTCGTTCATGGGGGCCACAGGTTGAGCTGGCAAAGAAGTTTAGAAGGGGGTGTCCCATCCATTTCCATCCAATCCCCTCTTGCCGGTTCAGGTGATCTGTTGGATTCAGCTTTCCGATCTAGCAGAGAACATGTTGCTGGTGTGATCCAGCTCTGAGGAGCTTGATGTGATGGTAGAAGGCCTTGATATTGATATTTCTCTGTCAGCCCTGCATATTGGGAGTTGCTTTAAATAATGGCTGGGTTGAATTTGACTTGTGCTCTTAAAGTCGCTCATGGCTTGATTGGACCAGTGCTTCCTGGCCAACACATTCTCATCCCAAGGCGTCATCTAACTGACGCTAACTGACGCTTTTGACCATGCGTCAACATGCCGACGCACATGGTACCCTTTAAGCGTCAATATGAGATGCTCATCCTCGGGCGTCATCTAACTGACGCTTTTGACCATGCGTCTAAATCCGACGCACATGGCCCCCTTTAGCGTCAGTTAGATGACGCTTCCGTTATGGGTAGGTTTAGGTCTGGGGTAGGGTTAGGGTTAGACCACTGAAGGCGCGTCTCATATTGATGCTTAAAGGGTACCATGTGCGTCGGCATGTTGACGCATGGTCAAAAGCGTCAGTTAGATGACGCCTTGGGATGAGAACGGGCTGTCCTGGCAGGCCTGTGAGGCTCCCATTCCTTCCCGATCTTCACACTACGGTGGAGAGGGTCTGGAGGAAAATATAAT